ATATATATATATATATATATATATATATATATATATATATTTTGCATTCAAGATAAAACATGTTTGTGTCCATTAATATGCTCTATCCAGAACTCCTTAAGTGGAAAGGTTCTGGTTTCATCTGGTTTAATTCTTAAAAAAAAAAAAAAAAAAGTTGCAGTCCTATATGGGTCTTTCTTCAACAGGAAAAGCTCCATCTAGCTTTTGGGGTCTCCAACTCCAGTCCTCAGCATCTGCTGCCCCTCAACTTTTAGGTCCATCTCTGCTCCAGCACTGCTGAATCAAAAGACTGATCATCTCTTCAGCATGCTATCGAGTTCAGCAAAGGCCTGATAACGAGGCACCCATTTGATTTAGGTTTGCCGCACCAGGGATTTCAGGGGGGGAGTGGCGGCCTAGTGGTTAGGTTGTGAGTTCAAAACCCAATCCCACACACTGCCACTCTGGCTCAGAGATCAATGGGTGCCCCACAATGGCAGCCCACTGCCCCCCAAGGGGTTGGGTAAATGCAGAGGTAAATTTCTCCAATGCAATATCAATAGTTTAATTATTATTATTATTTAGAAAGTGCAGGGCAGTAGATCTGGAGACCTGGAGTCGGAGACCTCTGATCTTATCTTTAATAATGTCAGCACATTGTAAGGCCCCACCTCCACCTTATGGTTTCGTAGTTAAAGTGGAAATGTGTGGTGGTTGCTGATCCAGCCATGGGCCTCATCACTCCATAAAACCTGACAAATCAGTCATCAGATACATTTCTTGGCAGTCTGCACAGCTTTCTAACTTACGTCCTATTCAATGGTTCTTATGTTTCCATTTTCCTTTCTCTGCTCACGGAATACCTTGTGCCTTGGGCGCCCCAGGTATGTAATAGCTATGAAATATGACAGCAACGGAGTAGAATGGATTTCTGGTAGCTTCAAGTTTATTCTTCTCTAATTCTATTGTTTCTGAAGATAATGTTGACTATTTACAACAAAACTTTTGATGGTTGTGTGATTGTGCCTCAATATTGAGGCAATAGTGTTTTTGTGAATGTCAAATCACTTTGAAAGATTTATTAATTTCTACATTTTCAAATATCGGCCAGCTACAAGCTGGTGGTTGTGCGGATGGAAATGCTCATGCATATCCACTTTGGGAACAGGTTTCATATAAAGTCGGTTTGATAGCTGCTTCATCTGGATGGGACCAGCCAAGGACCAAGAAGTTTGTTGTATATACCGGTACCCAAAACAAGCTTCGTTTGGACAGGGCCTAACATACAGTCAAAATACTCACCAGCCTAATAGTGCCGTACCCAGACTATATGTCATCTAACAGGTTTAAAGCTTGTATGTTTGATCTTGTTTGGTTGTGACTGTTGATAATTGACCGCGTTTCTAAAATTTGTGCTTTGCTTTGATCATCAGCTGCCCTCTGCATAGCCCTGAAATAAAAAGGTGTCTGTAGGATAGCAGATTACACAAACCAGACACAAAAGAAACCCTAAGAACCCTTTAGCCATCAGAAAAGAATAAAAATGCAGATTCATAAATATAAAATATTAATGTGCACGGCCTCTAATGCAGTTTTAGTGCATAAAATGGGTGATTTTAAAACCCTTGCAAATTGCTGTCACAGAAAAATGAATGAGTTTTATCGGAGACTCCAGTGCAACCAGTTTTTAAAAATGCAATGAACGAGACACTTCGCACTAAATATCTTTTTCGAGATGTTTTCCAAAGATCACTCTGTATTTCTTATAACCAAATGAGGGTTTACAGACATTGTTGCTGTTCAACATGCAGTTTTGACTGTACACACTTATGCAAGACCTGTCTGTGCTGTTTCTCTGCCTGATAACTCCCAGTTTTTCAAACCGTGATTGCCTTATTTTGTATGGGGGCTAGGATCTAGAGTTGAGACCGACAATCGGTAGAAAATTTAGTTGCGGGAAAATATTCTGAACCTGCAACTTTGAATTTAGAAAAATTATCAAATGTTTGTGAATGAGAACATGAACTACTGAGATTATTGATGAGGGTTGCAGTTTCCAAGGAAATTTAAAGGAGGATTACAAATATGTTAAACAGCCACAGTGCTTTAGGCCTTCCTCTCTTCCTCCCCTGCTGAAGGCAGAGCCAACCAGTTCAACTGGTTTCCAGTATGCCCTAAGGCCTGGCAATGGGGAGCGGGAAGAGGAGTACACAGATGAGAAGAAGTAGGAGGAACCTGACCTATCACAAAGTTTTCTGATTCTTCCTTCCCTCCACAATCCATAAAGTTTTACTGTTCTAGTAACAGTTTTTAAACATTTAATCAAGTCGGACAGTAATCCAACAACGACAGCTGAATGATCACCATTTGTATACATGCAACCAACGTCATTCTTCAGATAAAAAAAAAAATACTAAGTAGTAGTCCTCCTTTCAATCATAACCCTGCAGGTAAGCAGCTAAACTCTGCTTGCCGACTGACAAAAGGCAGAGGGGAGAGTCAGCGTGAGACAGGCAAACATAATAAATTTGCCATGACGTAACGGAGGCAACATCAGGAAACTTCCCTTGGCAAAAACAAGAAGATGTGGCCCGAGCAGTGGGACCTGCACGAAGTGCCTGTCATGGCGGCAGGAGCAGAGTTATCCCCGGGTGGAGTCCCTCAGCGCCCTTGTGTTTCTGTTACCTGCATCCCTCTGGACATTGTTAAGTTTATTAATGATAATCAGTGGCTCGGATCTCTCAGGTGAGAGGCTCATTCAGTTAAAGCGTCCCACGTGGAAGCACAGCAGCTAATTACTGAAACGCCTTGCAAACAAGGGGTGTGAGACATTTTACTCACCTATAGGAGGACTGGCCTGAATACATGGAGAATTCAGCAGGTAGATTTAATTTTCTGGAGTTGAAACCTTTTGGACCAGTTTCCTTCAACTTTCCCCCAAATTAAAGAAATGTATTTGACTGACTGCTATATGCTCTCGCTCCTGTTGACCGGCCCACGACTCCTGTTAGGCTTTGGGAGTGTAAAACTGTATTCCAGCCTCTTAACGCTAAGGGGGTCAGGATTGAATTGGCCCAACTGGTAACATTTAAACAATTTTTCCCCCGATGTCTTTGCACAATCCATCTATATCCCCATTTACACTACCGTTTTGAAACCGAGCCAAGAACGGTCCGAGCACGGTAACCTATAGATAACTGTTGAGTGTAAATGGAATGCAACTGAACTGCAACGTGCAACGTGACAGACACAACTGAAATGCGCTAAATCTAGTAGTAGTTCAACGGTAGGGCTCGGCACGGTTCAGTTGTGGCTGGGTTCTATGATAACAAAAAGCGCATGAGCAGACCGCGTCATCTTCCTATTTACAGTCAGCTGACTCATTTTACGGGTTTTGCAGCTTTGCGATTCACAAACTTCTTCTCAGCCTATTAACAATTAAAGGTATCAAAAGAGTATCGTACGACCCGGAATGATGCCGAGACAGAGTCTCGCTGCTTTTTCTCATAGTAGCTTTGCCTCGTCTGTTCCTGTTTGGCTGTGACACCATCCTGAAGAGAAATATCACCTGTGCTGCTGTCATCAAACCCTTTGTTTAGAGGTGTTGGAGATCGGCCTGTTTTTCAGTGTAGTCCTGTTTCTCTGACTGTGAAAGGCAGGATGTTCTCTCTTCATCCCTTGATATGGGAGTTGGCTCAGTGCTCCTCCGCCTGGCTGTGTGTTTCCTGGACGGGGCCGCCTCTTACAGTTACTTTTGTATCTCTACTTCTGTCTCCTTGAACCCCAGTCGGCCTCAGCAGATGGCTGATCACACTGAGCCTGGTTCTGCTGGAGGTTTCTTTCTGTTAAAAGGGAGTTTTTCCTCTCCACTGTCGCTACAAGCATGCTTAGTGTTGGGGATTGCATTCGAGTCAATGAGTCGATGCAATCCACTGTTTTTCCTTAGTAAGAAAACTTTGAATCAATTTGACTGCATAATCTGGCAATCTATAAAGTGCCTTGAGATGACATGCTGTGAATTGGCGCTGTCCAACAATGTTTGTCGGACATAAAGGTGGCACAGCCTCATTTTTCTCAAACTGCAATTGCTGATTGCGTTGTTTGACAAACCCAATGAATTGATTGAATGGCAGGTGGTCCGACTCATGAACTTTAGGGCTAGCGAATCAGCATCAGTGATTAACACTCATATTACATAGGGTAGTGTTGGTTTAGATACATACCTCCGCTTAATCTCTATTACTATTTCAATATAAATCCCTTATTTTCAGACTTTCTCAAGTTATCTAAGAATCAAAGATTGATTTGGTGTTTTTATTTTTCTGAATCCTACGCAGCTTGGCATAGGAGCATGTACACATGTAGAAAGTTTGCCTCTCAACTTACCGTAGGGAAATCAAAGTCCTTCTGGTTTACTAGGCCCAGGACATAATTGACCCGGAACTGGTTTGCAGGACACGCTAACTGGCACGGAGGCGTGAGTGTGTTCATGGCAGCCACGATTGTCTGGGTGGAGAGAGCAGAAGAAAATAATAAAGCACAACTTGATCCAAAACATCCCATAATATCAATGCTAATGTCACACTTCAAAGAACAACTTCTTACCTCTATAGCTTCTTTTATGTTGTTTTTAATATCATGAATTTTCTGTTTTTTCTCCCTGTGAAGAACAAAGAATACACGTCAGCTTATTGTTATGTTTCTAGAAAAGAGCCGTGCAGAGGACTCAGCATCTACATGAATTAGTCATTTTTATTGTATGGAATTAATCACCTTAAAAAGCCCAAATATAGAAATCGAAGCGCCACGCAATCTTTTTTTCTACAAAAAAAAAAAAGACTGAAGGGAAAATTTGTCTCTAACTCCAGAATGATGTTTGTTTCTTTTGTATTAGTGCCAGCGGGATTCAGTGTGAATGTGCTGCATAATACAAAGTTCTCCTGGATCTCTTCACCAGCCTGGAGGTAAATTATACCTGACATCAGTGTTATGGCTGCCCCAGAAGCACAGACACTTATTTTGCTGAGCAACAGCAACCTCTGAATTTTCTGTTTGCTGACGTGAAAAGAGAACAGCCGAAGCTGGCCTTAATTTTGACAACCCCATTTATTAAAAACAACAAACAAAAAAAACAAAAACAAAAAAAAAAGCAAGCAGAGTAAGCATAGGGGGATATTGGAGAAGAATATTCGTACATTTCTCTGGGGGGAGATTTTTTAAAAGTTTTTAAAAATTAGAAATGCTTTGCCATACAAAGCGTGATTATGAGCTTCATAGATGCAACAACTGTTTAACATCAGGCAATGGAAATTCCTGTGGATGCATTTTTTTTAGATTTTGTTTTTTTTGGATCAAACTATAAAGGCATAGAGCAATGAACAAAGCCAATTACATTTTGATTTTTTTATTTATTTAAATCCATCTGGTGTATTGAACATTTTTATTTTTAATTAGTAAACATTTGAAACAAACAGAAAACTGATCAACATCTAACAATAAACACAGTTGGATGATGAGTTTTCAAAATAAATATTTTATTTCTAGGCTGAAATTTTGTCTTAGCTAAAAAAGTGTGACCATAAACAGGCTGCATGATGCCGCTTATTTTCACAATAAAAGTCCCACTGTCCCGCTTCATGTTCAGTTTAAAGATTTAAGACATATTGATCTAGAAATAAATCTGACAAAAAAAAATGAAAAAACACTTTCAGGAAAAAAGCGAGAGATGGATCCATGGAAAATTGAAAATTGAGATTTTTTTTTTAAACATTAAAAGCTTTTTTTATACAAATTTTTTGAGTAAAATAATCCAGAATGTTTCACATTTAAATCTGAAAACATTTTTATAATGCTTTTCAAACCTTACTTCCTCAAGTAAGCAAATCCAACTTAATATTCTCAAAGAAAATCTCTCTTTGAAGCTTCAGTTTTAAACGCAGACGGAAAAAAAAAAAAGTCTTTGCATTAGTATTTAGAAACAAGTTGTCTTTAGATTTCCAAATACAACTAAATGACAAATGACTTTAAAATGTTTCTTTAAAAATAAACTGTTCTTTATCGCTCAATCTATATAAACTGTTTTCATTCAATCAGCTGTTTATTTTTCTAAAATGCACAGAACAGAATATGAGTCAAAGTATACCTTTATCTTTTGATAAAAAAGATAATCTACAATAGGGTAACCTCTTATGATGTTATACATTTCCATAATCAGAAGCAGGTTGTCAAATAAAGTCTGTGAGAGCTGCATATAATTTATTTAACTTTATTTTAATTAACTTAATTTTTGATTCATGTCATACTAATTCACACGTACCCTAAAAAAAGCTACTTACATGTATCGCTGCACAACAACCCTTCCTATTTCCTATTGAGAACTGTTCTTTCAAACATTTTATCGGAGTATTAAAACTGTTAAGAGGTCTTGACATGGATTTTTCCCTTTTCTTTGCTTTTCTGACATTTTTTTATTTTATTTTGTTAATTCTGTGATTAATATTACAAATACTGAGTACACCCTCTGGGTTAAAGACACACTTCAAACACATTCTAACTTGATGTCACTGCTTTTATCCCACTCACTGGTTTCAGCATGACCTGACAACAAACCACATGATTTTGACCTTCCCTCAAAAAAACAAAAAAAAAGCTTTCTAGGAATCAGATCTAGCTTTAAGAATAAAAAAAAGGACTTGTTTCCCTCACATCAACAATGGATCAAGTTTTAGGAAACTCACAAGACAAGGGCGTCTGCTCGGCACCCAGCGGCAAGATGAATGTTTGAAAGCATGATAGGGACTAAATAAAAAGTGTGGAGTGTTCCTGGATGTTTGCACGCCACAGAGACAATCAATCCCATTGTAATTGTTTTACCCATACACTTAAAACTGACTAAAATCAGAAGCATTAAAAAAATCTTATTAAACCTTATTTGTAAACAAAAAAGAAATACAACAAACACAATAATCCGCAGTAAAATTCAGTTCAAAAAGCACAGCAACTTATTTTCACCTCCTTCATATTTGAGCCTCGGAGTCTAAAATGGGTTCAACATACAAATGCAGCAGTTAAAACTGGAGTCCCATTTCGGATCTCTGGGTTTTGATTTCTTTTTAAGATCTGTGATATAATGTTTCCAACCCTCCCTGTCATGCATGTCCAGGAATTATTTAAATAGAAAGCATCATACTGTGTGAAAGAGCATAATCCCTGCGAAACAGTTTTACTTTAGATTTAAAAATAAATTAGGAAAACATTTAAAACTGTTTTAAGCCTGTTCAATTTTAAATAGCTCACATAAAACTGTGTTTTTTTCTTTATAAAGAAAAAGCTTCAGTGCATATTCCACATGTTACAGACCCTCACTTTAATTTAGATTTCCAAAGTCCTGCCGCCATTTCCAAACCGAGCTAATTTCAGGACAGATCGAGGTTTCAAATGGATTAAACAGCAACTTTGCTGTCAGACTATCAGCCTTCCTGTTACCTGCTGAAAGCTTTCGCTCACTCGCCTCCTGTAATAATTACCGACATGTCTCTACACGTGTTAGAAACTACAGCTTCCCTTTAGAGGGCAAACCTTTCTCTTTCCCCTGACTTCCTAATCAATCTGCTCTGACACAGACTTATTTGAGCGGTTTGGGTTCAGCACGAAATAACGTGTCATTGCCATCAGAACTAGGGGTGTGGGAAAAAAAAGAAAAAATATTTAGCGATATATCGTGATTTTAGGCTGCCCTCTACAATATTGCTTTTTTTTTTTTTTTTTTTTTTTTTTTTTTTTTTTTTTTTTTTTTTTTTTTTTTTTAGTTCCTAATATCGATTAAAAGAAAAAAAATAAAACATTTTATACCTAAAGCAATGAGAGAAAATTTCTGCCCTCCAAAAATAATAGGTACCAAAAGAACTAAATAATCAATATCTTCTGGCGAACATATACAGCACTTGTTTTTCTATCTATACATTTAATTGTGGTAGCTGGCAAAAAAAACAAACATATTGCATTATATAGTAATATTGCAATATTATGATAATATTGTATTGTGACCCAAAAATGTGGACTTTTGGTGTTTCTACAAAGATGGAGGCTAATTTGGGTCATCTTTTTATTTTTTTTGGATGCTTTCTTAGATTGAGATGAACCACTCTTTTAAAAAGATCTTTAACAAGATCTATGCCCATATATGGGAAGATGGGAATGCTTCAGTTGTGATTGGATCCTATTTCATTAATAATTGCTTTTTCAAAAATTCAGAAGACATCAAAACTTAAACAAAGATGTATGCCATGCAATTATCAAATAAAGCAGTTTTAAAACTTACAGAAACTTTTCTCTATCAAGCAAAGCTCCTATAGATTCAGTGAGGAAGGTGTATCTTGATCTTGTAAATTTTAAGGATACACAATGTATTGATTTGAAAACTTTGATTAAGTCATTTTCCAAAGTCATGAATGTGGACAGAAAGTGGACAAAAAGAAGCAACACTTACTCTGCGTTGAAGCCATTGACGTGCAGTATTCGCATCTGTTTGACTATCGTACTTTTCCCAGATTCTCCGGCCCCTAAGAGGTGAGGCAAAACGGTGTTAGGAAGAAAAAATAAATAAATAAAAATAAAAAGAAGACAAGCTTTAACACAAATACGGCATAAAATAATCCATGAGGCATTTTTTTTTTTAAATCAGATCATAATCCTTTATATTTCAATTATCTGGACTTCAGGGTTTTGTTTTTCATAGCTGAAGCCAAACCTCTGTCCTTCGTCTACGCAGCTGTACTGCATGTTAGACACAAGCAAGGCCGACTTGACAAAGAAAAAAAGTTCATACAAACAAATACAAAAAAATAATTATTATAAAGAGCAAATGGTAAGCCTGTAATATAAGCTACTTATTACAATGCAAGAAATACTTCTAGTGAGAGATCAATGTAACCGTTTAGGTATCAAAGGAACTATATACAAACAAAAAGGTAAAAATATATATATATATATTTTATGGTTTTTGAGCTACATGCTAAAACCCAATCTGTTTCCAGACAAAACTACTGAATCTGACTCCAACACCCAGGTTCTGGCTTGATATCTGTCTAAAAACCATATATCACATTCACTTTAACCTTTAACTTCTAACTAATAACCTGTAATTGTCCGTTTTACTTCTATTTCTTTATAAATAATAATTAATTATGGATAAAACTACCCTTGCAACAATGAGCTTTAATGTCACTATGCCCCATAAGGTAAAAAAAACAATTATCAGCGGTCTTTCATGACCGCCACATTCAAGCATGTTGGCTGATGCCATGTGACCAGGGGATGCAGGAAAACTTTTAAAGTTAATTCCAAGAGAGCTTGTTTTATGGGCCAAAGCATGAAAACACCAGATCAGAAAGAATCAAACAAACACAAACAAACAGCCTGGTTCAATATGCTAACTGTGAATTTGGTTTCAGAAATAGCCCTGTGTGCTTCCTAGGAATCCAACAGCATCCCCCCCACCCCCCAAACTGCTATTTACAGCTTTAATGTGTGTGTGCACAAATCTGGGATCAGTTTCAGATTAAAAACGAGCCCCACAGGCGTTCAAGGGAAGCTACTAATCCTAATGGTAATCCTAATTTGCACTCCGAGGTTTAACAGGATACTAACTCTTCAACATGCATGAAGTGCCCTATCATGAGGCCTAAAAGTCAAAAATAACAAACAGCTGATTTTTATATATATTTTTCTATTATGGAGCATTTAATTTGATCAAAGTGAACCAAAGTGAAGGCATCCAGGACCCTGACTGTTAACACAAACAGCAGATCATCAGCAGGGTTTTTGGAAGGAGAAGGGAGCATGTAAGAGCGGCCTCCTGGTCTCTGTGTGGCGCCTGAGCGTGCTGCCTTCACACAGATGGTGGTGTCTGGTCTCCTGTCTCTCACATGTTCAGCTATCTGCCTCCTTAATGAACCCCCACAATGCAGGACTTTATTTTATACCAAAATCTCTGAGTCAAAACTAAAACCGGTGAAATTTGTGTCAGATGCATCATTTTTTAATGCCTTGCAGAAATAATCTCTCAGCATTTTCCCTGCTTCAACCTGAAACAACTGCTGCATTTGAGAAAAAAGGCAACAAAACTGATATTTTTATTATATATGAAGGAGAAAAACAAAAATAACACCTACCTAACAGGAGAAGTCGATGAGTGGCACGGTATATCTGTTTGTCTTTCTGCAGCTGCCTGTCTATCCTTTTGTTTGCCACCCTCTGAAGCTTCTCCTCATTTCGTTGGTCTTCAGTCTTACTATTCCCAAGACAGCCCATCTTCCCAAAACCAAACAAACAAACAGATCCAGTGATGGGCTCACAGAAAGGTTCAAGGTGGGTGGATGTGTTTGAACCCTAAATTCCTCAACTGGACCAGCAGAAGAACACCCAGCTCAGAAATGGTGACATGTATGTTCTTCAGATGAAGCAGGTGCCAGGTAGTAGACTTCACCTTGATTGTTGGAGGTGGGTATTCACTGGAAACCCATCAGCAAAGGGAGATGAGAAGAGCAGAAAAAGGATCCCGCCCTCTCCAACACTTGATTCCCGTGTTTTTCACTGTAAATCCGCAATGAAGTCATCAACGCTGATAGGAGAGTGGATGTGGGATTTCCAGTTTTCTGGCTGCTCATGAATGAACCACATCAAATTCCTTCAATGCGTATGGATCTCAAACACCAGCCTCAGATTATTTTATTATTATTATCTGTATGTTGATGATCTAAATATCTATTTTTTTCAGCTAATGTCCCCTCAGGAGCCCATCTTCTTCTGAAATCTCCCTCTGCCATTCAATCCATTTCAAGCAGACTATGCTATGTTCTTCAAGCCTCTCCTTTTATTCACTCCTAAATAAAACTGGAGAAATTCAGGTTGGTAGATCGAAAGGATTGCAAACAATAGAGGACGAGTGGGAGAGAAAATAAAATAATAAATATTTCCTCTTAAAATGACGGCATGTGAATCATCAGGCTACACCAGGTCTTCTTCACCCAAAAAAAAAAAAAAAAATCACATTTTATTTTTTATTTTTTTTTAGGATGGCTCTGAGCAACCTTACTGATAATATCCTGTGTCAAAAAAAATCAATCCTGTCTTCGGTCAATAGATGCTGCTGTCTGGCCTTTTTGTTTGATAGAATAAAAAAAAGCAGAAAAGGGGGGAAAAAGGCCGCTATTCTGTCGCTTTTCTCTCCGTGGCGTTAATTTGTGTTTCTCCTCACATCGGAAACCTCCTCCGGCCGAGCAGAGGCAGCTCTCGGCGGCTGACCGTCCAAATATCCGGCCGATAACCGTGGAAATCCTTCGCTCTGTTCCCCGTTTTGGCGCAAGCAGCAGCAGAAGCACGGTCCGCTGTCAGCTCTCTGGGTTTTTTGTATTCCTTTTGAATCCGTACAGCAGATTATGGTTACATGTGCATGATACATGAACATACCGCGGTGGGGCTTTTTTTTTTCACTCACTTCATCCAAACGGAGATAGGCAGTTGGTTTCGGAGCCGATAGCCCGCGGCCGCTCCGTTCAACCGGTCGGGTAGGTTAGAGTCGATCCGTTCGCGGTGTTTCTCTCAATTATTTTTGCCCCCGTTTTTTTTTTTCTCTCTCTGAGAATTGTACATTGAGATAGATAGCGCTGAAGAGGTGGGGTGGGGCAAACGGCTCTCACGGAACCCTGGGAATGAAGAACCGATGTAAAGCTTTCCATGATAACCAACCTATTTTCCGGTGAACCTTTCGCAATAAAAGCACAAATGTAATTTTATTTATTTATTTGACAGGGACAGTGAACATTAAAAAAGCATTGCCGCAAATGCACCAGAATTAGCCAAAAGGCTGTTTTTCATCTGTTGTTGTTGATGTTAATATTGTCTACCTAAAAAAAACACAACAGTAAGCATTTTACAATAAAAAATACAAATATAAAAAGAAACAAAAACAGCTATAACTCTTCAAAACTCTTCAAAATACAGAATAAGTGATTCTGTAATTAACAAAAATAATTATATATATATATATATATATATATATATATATATATATATATATATA